TAACTGGACGACACACAGTTTCAGGAGCATAACTGACAAGCCTTTAATCACAGTCTCCTTATAAAGCATGCTCCCATGCAAGGGAGGGATTTACAGTAATTATTACAGTAGCCAATCCTGTCCTGGTAACCTCCCACACATCCCCTCCCCTCAGCCAGCATCATAATCCCCTTAGCCAGCACACCAATTCCCCCTATTTCTGGATGTACCCCTAAACGTAGGGGTACCCCTTTAAATCATACATCCCCGGGTAGCCCTGATCTGGGTGAACAACATATCCAAAAATCACCCAGATCGGACCAGGGGTTCGGGAAAAGTATGGAGGGAATAAAATGACCGACCGCACAAACTGAGATAGCCGAATTCGGTTCCATGTGAATGGGCCCTGCGGTCGGTCCTGGCATAAGGGAATAAAATACACGAAAACCTCTAGCTATAGAGGCTAGGGAGGGTTCGCCTGAATCCCCTCGTTCGGTTCTTTCTATCTACCGAACGAGGGGCCGTTCGGTAGTTAGGAACCGAACGGACCGGGCTTGTGGAGGTTTCAGCGGTGTTCGCCTAGTCAAGTGTCCGATTTGAGTTCCAGACACTCGACGGCAAAACACCGCTGTTCGAGAGTTTTAAAATGGCCGCCGCCACGTGTTCGTTTGTCGAATGGCGGCCACCCCCGAGAACAAAGGACGGCTACTTACTGTTCAATTACCCATTCGCAACAATGTTGCAACGGGTAATTGAGGACACATTTCACACAGGGAGGTCTGGTTGTTCGGTAGTTTCATTCGAATAAACTAAGGGAATGAAACTACCGAACAATCAGAGGAATACAATTCTTTTTCAATACACAGAAAATACAGCAGATACACGGATGCAGCTTTATACAGTATTTTTGTAGGGTCGCCTGGTGCAATCCGCTACACGGTAATATGTGACACATTGTATGGAAATCCAACACTTTCACAGCCGACATCAAGCTAACCTGGTAAATGTCTGACTGTCATTTAACTAAAACAAGTTAACTGTTTGCCACTCGCACTAGTAGTTGCAAAGATAAGGAAAAGAATAGAAAAAACATATCCCTGCATTGTTAATTGCTGTTGAAGCGCAGAAATGTCCTTGGTTACTTATCAACCAAGGCCACACTAGGAGAGTTCATCGTGTCGGGCCACTTTCCTCCTCTCTCCCCTTTAAAATGCTGTAGAGTTTTCCACTGTTGTATGAAACTTGGGTTGCTGGGTCTCAGCTCCACACATTTTCCAGCCCAGGCCTTGATGGGAGCCAGTGCCTTATGTTCATATATCTCCTTACTCCCAGTGGCAGGATCGAGGGCCAGTGGGCGTTCCGGAATTCGGAAACCCCTCTGGTTAAGTGGATGGCAAGTTGAATTTGAATCCAAATGGAACCCCGGGGCCCTGGATATCCCCCACCTGTTAAAGGTGGTGACAGGGTTGCAATGAATCTGCTGTATAACTCGTGTCCAGAGCCAGGAGATCAGCCTTCTCTTCCAGCTGCCAGACTGCAAGTCCCGTTAGGCCTCAAAAATGGATGAAGTATCCTATAGGGCACCACGTTCCAGGCTTATAGAGTTGCAGCTTGTTGAATTATAGATTCAAAATCCACATTGGACTTCAGCCAGCATGCTTTTATATAATATTCGTTTGATGTAAAATCGGATTAGCAGGAGTTATTGAAAAACATGTCCGGCCATCTTGGGTGTGAGACGCCTCCCCTGAGGAATAATAAGATTTTATCTAGTGAATTCCATCCTTCCATATAAAATCAGCCTGGCTTTACCTGAGAACTAGTTACAGCTGATGGCAGCAGATAATATGAACAATCCGGTAAAATCTAAGAGTCCGGTGGCAGATTATAAGGTTTTAAATAACCTAGAATTCCATTTTGGCTCTTTTAGCTGACATTGTGCAATCTGTATTCCATTTGACCGTGGTGTTTGGTGAATACACCACAGTCTGGCGCTGTGTACACACGGACCTACCTATATAGAACACGCGCACTGCTTTTAATTAATGCTGTGACATCCAGTGATTGGGAACGAAGACACGCTATGGTTCAAGCTGTACATTGGAAAAGTGAATATTTGCCTCGCTTTGATGTTGTTTAGAGAAAGAAGCCGCACAGACCAAGATATCCACTAGTTTGCCAGTTCAAGCATTGAGGCTACCCGAACCCAGAGATTTACAGGTAATTGTACACCAGCACCACAACAGGGGACATGTAACTGGTGGAGGCAGTATGATCAGTATCTTGGAGGGGAGCCAGGTAACAGTTTTGTCACAGAGGACATTGGAAGAGATTTTTCAATAGGCAGCAGGTAACCGTCACTGTACGGAAAGCTGGGGCAAATCTGCAAAGAAATGGTCAAGCTAAACGGCCATTTTAAAGCTTTGTGAACCTCGCACAGGGATACGCAGGAAATAATTTTTTCTTAAAACTCTGAATAGTAACGGACTTGCAGATTGGACCAAGGCAATGGATGTGAAAGCTCCCGGCACAGTGCAGGACATTCTAATGGCTACGCTGAAATACTGTGCATTATGTAGATTTACTCTTAAGTTTCCACTAATAAATCAGCGAGATCATGGATTGGGGTGAATGTATTACTTGCTCAAGAACTCCAAAACCTAATGAGCTCTTTTACCTCTTGGCCCTCTCATCCTGGTAGTAGTATTAAATGTTAATTGGCTTCACACACTATGTACCTTCAATGATAACAGTTATATATACAAAACAAAATGGAAGGGCTCAAACATATGAAACTAAATTAGTGGTTTTCAACACTCCAGGAGAACAATGATTATAAATGGCAGACACCATGGATGACACAATTGAAATCAGTTGGGTCCTCGATCTGGTGGGACATTTATTATGAAGCGACGGGCTGGGTTTATCAAAGTAGTAATATGGTTTCGCAAATTGGTATTAACACATAAATAACGTGATGAGCAGGCGTATTTGAGGGAATGACGATGACAAGGAAGGAGCTCATTGTAACGGATCGCCTGGCACCCCGACTGGGTACAGTTAGCTCTCCCAGTGAAGTAGGACTCGACCTCCACCGGTGGCATGCTGGCAAAGCATCATGGGATTAGAGAGTAGCTAGCTAGAGTCCCCAATCACATGTATACATGAGCGAGAGTGCAGCAAGGGTGGGTTAAGTTTACTTTATAAATACTGTAGGAAGTTTCTAATGAACAGAAAGTCCCTCAAATCCACGTGCAGAATGCGGACAGTCATTTTAAAATCCTACGTATCTTTGGCCATTTTGGTTCTCAGTGGTGTTTACTGATCCATTGAACTACTAATGATGTTTATTAATGCATTACAGCGGATTAATGGAATTAAGGGGTAATAGCAGGGAGGGGTAGATTACACAGATGGGGTAATAGCAGGGAGGAGTAGATTATACAGATGGGGTACTAGCAGGGAGGGGTAGATTATACAGATGGGGTAATAGCAGGGAGGGGTAGATTATACAGCTGGGGTAATGGCAGGGAGGGGTAGATTATACAGATGGGGTAATGGCAAGGAGGGGTAGGTTATACAGATGGGAGTAGCCTGCTGAGGTGAGCCCTTACAGATGAGTAATACTTGGGGAGGGAGGTAGATTATACAGATGGGTACTAGCAGGGAGGGTAGATTATACAGATGGGGTAATAGCAGGGAGGGAGTAGATTGCCACAGCTGGGGTGTGCTTGGGAGGTAGATTATACAGATGGGGTATGGCAGGGAGGGTAGATGATACAGATGGGGTAGCAGGAGGGAGCACAGGTGTTATACAGATGGGGTACTAGCAGGGAGGGTAGGTATACAGGTAGAGGTACTAGCAGGGAGGAGTAGGTGCCACAGATACAGGAGGTACTAGCAGGGAGGTGGAGTGCCACAGATGGGGTACTAGCAGGGAGAGGGAGTAGATTATACAGATGGGGTACTAGCAGGGAGGTAGATGATACAGATGGGGTACTAGCAGGAGGTAGATTATACAGATGGGGTAATAGCAGGGAGGGATAGATTATACAGATGGGGTACTAGCAGGGAGGGGTAGATTATACAGATGGGGTAGTAGCAGGGAGGGGTAGATTATACAGATGGGGTAATAGCAGGGAGGGGTAGGTTATACAGATGGGGTACTAGCAGGGAGGGGTAGGTTATACAGATGGGGTACTAGCAGGGAGGGGTAGATTATACAGATGGGGTACTAGCAGGGAGGGGTAGATTATACAGATGGGGTACTAGCAGGGAGGGGTAGATTATACAGATGGGGTACTAGCAGGGAGGAGTAGATTATACAGATGGGGTAATAGCAGGGAGGGGTAGTTTATACAGATGGGGAACTATCAGGGAGGGGTAGATTATACAGATGGGGTACTAGCAGGGAGGGGTAGATTATACAGATGGGGTACTAGCAGGGAGGGGTAGATTATACAGATGGGGTACTAGCAGGGAGGGGTAGATTATACAGATGGGGTGCTAGCAGGGAGGGGTAGATTATACAGGTGGGGTACTAGCAGGGAGGGGTAGATTATACAGCTGGGGTACTAGCAGGGAGAGGTAGATTATACAGATGGGGTACTAGCAAGCAGGGGTAGATTATACAGATGGGGTACTAGCAAGCAGGGGTAGATTATACAGATGGGGTAATAGCATGGAGGGGTAGATTATACAGATGGGGTACTATTAGGGAGGGGTAGATTATACAGATGGGGTAATAGCAGGGAGGGGTAGTTTATACAGATGGGGAACTATCAGGGAGGGGTAGATTTTATAGATGGGGTACTAGCAGGGAGGGGTAGATTATACAGATGGGGTACTAGCAGGGAGGGGTAGATTATATAGATGGGGTACTAGCAGGGAGGGGTAGATTATACAGATAGGGTACTAGCAGGGAGGGGTAGATAATACAGATGGGGTAATAGCAGTCACTAGTTGGAGGATGGAATAGGAGGAGGAAAGTTAGAGGTTGAAGATCTGCTGGCTGAGCGGGGAGAGCGGACTGACAGGAGCCCGGGGAGGGAGAGGGGGGAGACGGCTATACCGGGAGGATGGCTCGGGGTTCGAATCGCAGACTCCGGGAGAAGTGACCGCGGAATAACCGGAGCAAGGTGAGTGCAGAGCCGGGAGCCTGGGCACTGCCCGGGGAGGGGGGAGCGGGTATTATGGAGCACTGCAAGGGGGTATTATGGAGCACTGTAAGGGGGTATTATAGGATACTGTATGGGGGTATTATAGGATACTGTATGGGGGTATTATAGGGCACTTTAAGGGGGCATTATGAGGGCACTGCATGGGGGTATTATAGGGCAATGCATGGGAGGTATTATAGGATGATACTGTATGGGGGGTATTATAGGGCAATGCATGGGGGTATTATAGGATACTGTAGGGGGGTATTATAGGGCACTGCATGGGGGTATTATGCAGCACACGCCAGGGGCCATTATGGAGCACTGCATGGGGGTATTATGGAGCACTGCATGGGGGTATTATAGAATACTGTATGTGAGTATTATAGGGCACTGCAAGGGGGTATTATAGGATACTTTAAGGGGGTATTATAGGGCACTGCATGGGGGTATTATAGGATACTGTATGGGGGTATTATAGGATACTGTATGGGGGTATTATGGAGCACTGCAAGGGGGTATTATAGGGCACTGCATGGGGGGTATTATAGGGCACTGCATGGGGGGTATTATAGGATACTGTATAGGGGTATTATAGGATACTGCATGGGGTATTATAGAGCACAGTACAGGGGTATTATTGGGCACTGCGTGGGATATTATAGAATACTGTACGGGTGTATTATAGTGCACAGTACGGGGGTATTATAGAGCATTGCATGGGGGTATTATAGAGCACTGTATGAGGGTATTATAGAGCACTGTACGGTGGTAGTATAGAGCACTGCATGGGAGTATTATAGGATACTGTACGGGGGTATTATAGAGCACTGTACAGGGGTATTAAAGGATACTGTACGGGGATATTATAGGGCACTGCATGGGGTATTTTTATAGGATACTGTACGGGGGTATTAAAGGATACTGTACGGGAATATAGGGCACTGCATGGGGGTATTATAGAGTACTGTATGGGGATATTATAGGATACTGTATGGGTGTATTATAGAGCACAGTACGGGGGTATTATAGGATACTGTATGGGGGTATTATAGTGCACAGTATGAGGGTATTATAGAGCATTGCATGGGGATATTATAGAGAACTGTATGGGGGTATTATTGGGCACTGCGTGGGGGTATTATAGGATACTGTATGAGGGTATTATAGAGCACTGTACGGTGGTAGTATAGAGCACTGCATGGGGGTATTATAGGATACTGTACGGGGGTATTATAGAGCACTGTACAGGGGTATTAAAGGATACTGTACGGGGATATTATAGGATACTGTACGAGGATATTATAGGGCACTGCATGGGGTATTTTTATAGGATACTGTACAGGGGTATTAAAGGATACTGTACGGGGATATAGGGCACTGCATGGGGGTATTATAGGATACTGTACGGGGGTATTATAGAGCACTGTACGGGGGTATTATAGAGCACTGTACGGGGGTATTATAGGGCACTGCATGGGGTATTTTGTAGGATACTGTACAGGGATATTATAGGATACTGTACGGGGATATTATAGGGCACTGCATGGGGTATTTTTGTAGGATACTGTACGGGGATATTATAGGATACTGTACGGGGGTATTATAGGGCACTGCATGGGGGTATTATAGAGTACTGTATGGGGATATTATAGGATACTGTATGAGGGTATTATAGAGCACTGTACAGGGGTAGTATATAGCACTGCATGGGGGTATTATAGGATACTGTACGGGGGTATTATAGAGCACTGTACGGGGTATTATAGGATACTGTACGGGGGTATTATAGGGCACTGCATGGGGGTATTATAGAGTACTGTATGGGGATATTATAGGATACTGTATGGGGGTATTATAGGGCACTGTACGGGGGTATTATAGGATACTGTATGAGGGTATTATAGAGCACTGTACGGTGGTAGTATAGAGCACTGCATGGGGGTATTATAGGATACTGTACGGGGGTATTATAGAGCACTGTACAGGGGTATTAAAGGATACTGTACGGGGATATTATAGGATACTGTACGAGGATATTATAGGGCACTGCATGGGGTATTTTTATAGGATACTGTACAGGGGTATTAAAGGATACTGTACGGGGATATAGGGCACTGCATGGGGGTATTATAGGATACTGTACGGGGGATTATAGGATACTGTACGGGGGTATTATAGGGCACTGCATGGGGTATTTTGTAGGATACTGTACAGGGATATTATAGGATACTGTACGGGGATATTATAGGGCACTGCATGGGGTATTTTTGTAGGATACTGTACGGGGATATTATAGGATACTGTACGGGGGTATTATAGGGCACTGCATGGGGGTATTATAGAGTACTGTATGGGGATATTATAGGATACTGTATGAGGGTATTATAGAGCACTGTACAGGGGTAGTATATAGCACTGCATGGGGGTATTATAGGATACTGTACGGGGGTATTATAGAGCACTGTACGGGGTATTATAGGATACTGTATGGGGGTATTATAGGGCACTGCATGGGGGTATTATAGAGTACTGTATGGGGATATTATAGGATACTGTATGGGGGTATTATAGGGCACTGTACGGGGGTATTATAGCATACTGTACAGGGGTATTATAGAGCACTGTACGAGGATATTATAGAGCACTGTACGGGGGTATTATAGGGCACTGCATGGGGATATTATAGGGCACTGTACGGAGTATTATAGGATACTGTGAGGGGGTATTATAGGGCACTGTATGGGGGTATTATAGGACACTGTGCGGGGGTATTATAGAGCACTGTGTGGGGTTATTATAGAGCATTGCATGAGGGTATTATAGGGTACTGTATGGGGGTATTATGGGGCATTGTACTGGGTATTATAGAGCACTGTATGAGGATATTATAGGACTCTGTAGAAGATGGATCACACACTCTAGAGGGCTAAAGCATCACCCACTATACAGTCTGTGTATAATCTAACCCTGTATATTAATGCCACTCACTAGATAGTTGTAGAAATGCCCAGGTGACTGTATGTAGTGTCATTAAAGGGACACTAGTCACCAAAACAACTAAAGCTTAATGAAGCAGTTTTGATTTAGTTTATAGTTCATGCCCCTGCAGTCTCACTGTTCAATTCACTACCATTTAGGTAGTTAAACCACTTTGGTTATACAGCCCTAGTCACACCTCCTTGCATGTGACCTACTCATCCTTCCTAAAAACATTTCCTCTAAAGTGAGATCTAATAGTTACACTTCCTTTTTTTGCACACGCTATTTAATTGAGCTGTACACAAAAAGTGTACATTTATTATTCTACAGTTGTTTTGGTGACTATAGTCCCTTGAATGTCCTGTACTTTTACTATCTTTTATAGAAATTGCTACATCCCCAGTAAATAGCGCTGAATATTGCATTGCTCTGCAGTGGATTCCCAGCCACAGTTTGTTTTACCCCGACTCATGTTTAGAGGCAGATTTCAGAATGTACACCAAAGGGGTTCATTACAGTGAACTGGAGAGAACGGGAGAGAACGGGAGATGGATTTGTAGAAATGCTCCAACTGTATTTTAAGACAGCCGTGACACAAACTGTAATAAACTATGGTTATACTGTAGTTATTTTAAGACTGCCCCGTATACTCTGTATTTATCATCATATTTTAAGACTGCCCCGTATACTCTGTATTTATCATCATATTTTAAGACAGCCCGTATACTCTGTATTTATCATGTCCATTCATACAGTTTTTGTGGGGGGGAGGGGAGAGAGATATTTCTCCCATGGGGCCGGTGTGAGTCCAGGTTTCACTGAAGTTGTGCAGTTATTCTCCTGAGCTTCATTCAGACAAGCCATAGACTCCCTCACATGTACCCTGTTATTAAAGTCCAATTACACCCCCCTCCTCTCCCTTAGCAGACTTTTGATGTTGATTAGTTTCCCACACTAGATTCACTTGAACTTCTGAAACAGGTTCAAGTCTTAAAATCTTTTCTTCTCTGAGGGACCCGCAATCGTGGCAGGACTAAAAGCGTTAAAGGTTCACGGAGTATTGCTGCAGTAACCCTTTATTGTAGAAAGATTTCAATAGCAAGTCACTCTTGCCTGAAAGCTTGCAATCTAAGAGCTTAAACCATGAGAAAATCTCAGTAAGACTGGATCTCCATGGACAATTTAAGAATGTGTGTGTGGGTTTTATTAAAAAAAAACAAAAAAAAAACTAATTGTGTCTTCTTGAAATGAATTTGACCCAAATGCCCTGATAATTGCAGAAGATTGCAGGGGGACAGGTCTCTACCTGACAGGTAATAGTAGGTTTGGGAAGGAAGCTGGCTCGGCTTCTTGCAGCTCAGTCATCCGAGATCCGAGAAGGTTGGTGAAAAAAAAAAAAAAAAAGTCTTTTATCTCCCTGGTCCATGGGTTTTCATTTTGGGATCTGTAATTCCTGGTTACGAGTCAGCGAATCCCATCATATGTTGAACTCTCACAATGAGCTATGTGTTGGGGTGGGTCCTAAATATCACTGGGTTTAGTGTAAAATTTACTCTGCCAAGTGATAAGCCTGCATTATGGATTTGGTATAAGAAGCCAGTAAAAAGCACGGGGCTATGTCACGGCTGACTCATTTCTTTCGTCATCTGCCTTGGGCATTGAAGTTGGATCGTGAGTTCTTTACACGAGTTGCTTTCATTTATAAAGTGTGTGATTAGTGGATGTGGGCATGTGTCAGTGTATGTCTCTACCATGCTCTTTCTGTTTGGCACAGATGCCTGGGCGGTTGCAGACAGCGCTGAGGGTTCTGGGCACCAGTGTTTTTGCTCTGCTGGTTTTAGGAGGCATTCTGGCTGCCTATGTGACCGGATATCAGTTTATCCATACGGACCGGCACCACCTGTCGTTTGGATTGTACGGAGCCATACTGGGCTTGCACCTGCTCTTTCAGAGCCTTTTCGCCTTTCTTGAACACAGAAGAATGCGTGGAGGGGGACGGAGTGTGTCCGGAACCTTTTCAGTGGCTCTGTGCATCGCTGCCTATCAGGAAGACCCCGAATACTTGAGAAAGTGCTTACAGTCGGTCCGACGGCTTTCCTACCCCCACCTCCGGGTAGTGATGGTGGTGGATGGCAACTCTGAGGAGGACAGATACATGATGGAGATCTTTCGGGAAGTCATGGGATCGGAAGGCACCGGATGCTACATCTGGGACACTAACTACCACGAAACAGAAGAAGGGGGTCAGGAGGGTGAGAGGGGTGTTAAAGAACTGGTGGAAAACTTTCCTTATACCTGCATTATGCAGAAGTGGGGAGGGAAACGAGAGGTGATGTACACAGCATTCCGAGCACTTGGAGACATTGTGGATTATATACAGGTCAGTGAGCATGCATTCATTGTTCTTTACTGTGCTCTACAGCAGCAAAAATACACATATTGTACCAGTTATTTTTCCAAGAAAAACTTGCTAGTCCCATACAATAACCACTAGCCAAAAACAGCTAGCCTAACACCCCTTCTAATGGTATATACAGACCTTGGATGTGGCAGATGACTCCTCTAATTTCTAAGAAAGAAACCTTATAGCTTCCTACAAACAACACAGAGTGGGTAATAATCACCCCATGATTTAGTATATTTGCCAGTAAAATAGTTTGATGTCAGGATATGAAATCCTAACCTGCAACAAGCCACCTGCTCATTAGTACATATTGTCTGTAATAATAATAATAATATTGCAGGTTCTCCTTGCTAGAGTGCGGGCAAATATACTTGCTAGATATTCGTCCATAGCTTAGTGACCTCCACAGGGCCGTACAATCCTGTAACAGATATCTGACCCGTGACTCTTACAGCAGAGACACACACAGAAGAGAAGGAGCACATTGCAAAAACTGAAAGGGTCAGTGCAACACATAGCGGCATTTCCTAAAACTACATTGAAATATATATCTGGGTCCTTTATGTCAAAATATGTAAGAGAAAAACACAATTGGAAAAAATGTTGCCTTGCAGAAAATAACCCCCAAAAATCAATTAACCGGTGCAAATAATATTCGCTGTACGGAAATAAATGTTTAATTTGGAAGGTTTACAAAGCCTATTAATATATCAATACTGCCATATTGTATTAAAAATGTTTCAAAACAGAAATATATATATATACACACATACACACTATATATATATACACACACACACACACATTATATATATATATATATATATACATACATACACACACAAATAAAATGAGTCCCAGTTCAGATTAGAACTATAAACACATTCAAATTTGCAATTTGTGGCCACATTCTCCTGTTAATTTTACTGTTTGGGGTATTGATTACAAGGACCTTGATCTGGTGTCATTTAATAGACTTTATGAAAGTCCTTTAACATGCAGTCACATCACAGACAGACTATAGAGAATGCTGTACAAAGTGAATTAACGCACAGTATTAGCACAGTCACCTCTGCAAACAGACGCATTCACTTTTATAATGTGAAGATCCTAAAAATATACATTAAAAAAAAAAAAAAAGCCTTGAGATAAAGCCATTCTGCAGACGCGCTGCCAAAGAGGATTTAGCTCTATAATTCTAGAACAAAACAAATGTAGAGATTCCAGGAGATGCTTTACTATGAAAGAGCTCCTGTATGTTTCTACATGACATTATTTAAATCCGTTTCCATTGTCTGCTTGCAGGTCTGTGATTCGGACACGGTGCTAGATCCGGCATGTACCGCAGAGATGCTACGTGTTCTAGAAGAAGACCCCAAAGTTGGTGGCGTTGGTGGGGATGTGCAGGTAAATATAACAAACTCCGCATTACGCAAGCAATGAGATGGTGATTTGGTACCAATGAACCATTAAGTGTCAAAGCAGGACTCAGGTGTAGGTTAACATTATGTAGGCCTTTATCCACCCAATAAACCTAGGGTAGACAACCTTTGACACTCCAGATGCTATGGACTACATCTCCCTTGATGCTTTGCCAGCATTATGGCCGGAGGAGCATTTCACAACATCTGCATTGCCAAGAGGTGCCTATCCTTGCTCTAAACAAAAATGGTGTTCATTGATTTTGAAGGGAGGCCCTACATCTTGTTTCTGGTTACAATGTGGTCTGTAGAGAAGCACATTAAGGTGAATAGAAAGATGGGAGCATTTCAATGAAAGGACCACTCTAGGCACCCAGACCACTTCAGCTTAATGAAGTGGTCTGGGTGCCTGGTCCAGCTAGGGTTAACCCTTTTTTTTTTTTTTTATAAACATAGCAGTTTCAGAGAAACTGCTATGTTTATAAATAGGTTAATCCAGCCTCCAGTGGTTGTCTCTTGAAAATCACAGTGAGAAGACGCAAGCGTCCATAGGAAAGCATTATGAATGCTTTTCTATGAGACTGGCTGAATGCACGTGCAGCTCCTGCCGTGCATGCGCATTCAGCCGAAGAGGAGGAGAAGAGGCGGAGAGGAGGAGGAGAGCTCCCCGCCCGGCGCAGGAGAAAGGTAAGATTTTAACCCCTTTCCTCTCCCCAGAGCCCGGCAGGAGGGGGACCCTGAGGGTGGGGGCACCCTCAGGGCACTATAGTGGTCCTTGAACTGATCTTATTTCTACGGGTCTCCCACTGTCCATGGCGCAGCTCTACATCTCCGGTCATTCGATACATGGTGCCTCTGGCGTTCACATCAAAAATCCACATGCGTAATAATGCGGTGCGCTTGTAATGAAAAGACGTAGCGACTCCACTTCAACATAAACCAATCCACGTTAATTAAAAATATATATCAAAACACCAGGAATAGTGAACACAATGCATTTATTTTAGAAGGTTTTATGACTTGTCTAACAATGAACCTTGATGTATATTGTTCTCAAATAACAGCAATAGAAATAAGAAGCCACATAAAATATCACAGGATATAAACCTTATAAAACAGATCATATAACAGAAGCCTTATAAAAGGTCTATTATCAGTCGTGGCTAATCCTGGCACTGCAGATATTTAAACATTTCAATTCTTATTATGCTCAGCCAGCACCAGAGGAATGGTAGTCACTAAAATCCAAGCATTGGTCACTGATGTAATTTGGGTCCTCATTAAAAAGGGTTAGTAGCTGCTAGGGGAAGGATAGACAATCTTCAGAACTCCAGACTTGGTGAACTACAACTCGCCTAATGCTTTGCAGGAATGATGACTGTAACAGCATTATGGGAGATGTAGTCCACAACTTCTGGAGTGCCAAAGGTTGCCTGCCCTAGTCTATCTGGTGGAATTTGAAGTACATACTTTGTTTTGTTATTGCCTTTACTATTTGTGTGTTGTACTCCACAGATCCTCAATAAATACGACTCGTGGATCTCGTTTCTGAGCAGCGTACGGTACTGGATGGCATTTAATGTCGAGCGGGCCTGTCAGTCCTATTTTGGCTGTGTGCAGTGCATCAGTGGCCCACTGGGAATGTATCGAAACAGCCTTCTACAACACTTCTTAGAGGACTGGTACCATCAGACCTTCCTTGGCCAGAAGTGCAGCTTTGGGGATGATCGGCACTTAACAAACCGTGTCCTGAGCATGGGATACCAGACAAAGTACACAGCAAGATCCCGGTGCCTTACCGAGACCCCCACAAAGTACCTGCGCTGGTTGAACCAGCAAACCCGCTGGAGCAAGTCATATTTTCGGGAGTGGTTGTATAATGCACTCTGGTTCCATAAACACAACCTGTGGATGACCTACGAATCTGTGGTCACAGGCTTTTTTCCCTTCTTCCTGGTGGCAACGGTGGTGCAGCTTTTTTACCGTGGCCGTGTTTGGAACATACTCCTCTTCCTGCTCACGGTGCAGCTTGTGGGCATTGTGAAGGCGACGTATGCATGTTTCCTTCGGGGTAATGCAGAAATGATATTTATGTCTCTCTACTCACTCCTATACATGACCAGCCTGCTACCAGCAAAAATTTTTGCAGTTATCACAATTAACAAGTCTGGGTGGGGGACGTCTGGGCGTCGGAAGCTGGTGGTGAATTTCATGGGCATGGTGCCTGTGTCAGTGTGGTTCTGCGTCCTGCTGGGCGGGCTGGTGTACACCGCATATTGCCAGAGCCAGGACCCTTTCACTGAGACAGAGATGCTATTCCTGGTGACTGGAGCAATATTGTATGCATGTTACTGGGTGGCGCTGCTTAGCTTATACCTGGCTCTGGTTGCCCGCCGCTGCGGGAAGAAGCAGGAACTTTACAGCCTGGCACTAGGAGAAGTGTGAGGCAAAAGGGATGTTCCAGTATTACCGTTAGGACTGGACAGAAACTCTAGGGAGAAGAGATGGGAAGTGCAACCAGCATTTTATATGGACTCAGAACACCTTGAAAAAAAATCAGGAGACCTTGAACAGTCCAAGTTGTGAATAATTCAGAGAGGGAACACACGAACAGGGACGGTTTCTCACCAGCAAAGTCTTACACATCTACGACTGCACTATGCAAACACATACCTCAAAACGTGAGCCAGTAGCCAAAGCAATACAAGCCCTCCAGGGCACAGCCTTAATAGCAACATTCAGTCCCTGTAATTGGGGAACATCAACACCCTACTCACTGTGAGCATCATACATGTCCGCATCCAGTAATGAAGGGAGCAGTGACCTCTATCTTCGGCAGGGTAAACAAAGCCAAATTAATTCAACCTCACCAAACCCCATCCTTCTGTCCTTTCACTAACCATGCAGAATGAACACAAGAGCACCCTCTATGCTGCAGCCATCTTAGCACTCAATGATACAGGTAGAAAGGAGAGGAGCCTGGGTCAATATGGCACCACTTGCAGAAATTCAATATGGATTCCTTATACTAATAGACATGAATGATAAATACATTTTGATTCATGAATCCATACGTAGATTGTAAACAGTGATCCGACCGTGCTGGATTGGGATGAAGCAATAGTAAAATGATGTTTAATACTTACTGTAAATGTAAGGTCAATGTATTCAATATGGTAGTAGGACAGACAGCCATATCATCATATCATCACCAGCGCTAGGCTTCCCACTACGCAGCACTAAGTAACCTTAGAATGTATTCTACTCAGGACTGGTCCATTTCCCATAGTGCACTGCATGCCTAGTGTCCTCGGCTGGTAAAGGGCCTATACCGAATTTAGAACCCAATTTCCAGCCTCCAAATTGGGCACAGAATGCCATAGACATTAAAATCCAGTAAATATGCAAGACCCAATACCCCCGCTGCCTCTTCTCTTAGCAATGCATACAGGATAGAAAGGGAATGCACACAGTTCTCGAATTCCACGAGATTGTAACAAAGGGAACTGATTTTACATTAGCCTGAATTTGCTGCTTGTAGAATGTCCATGTGGTGGCTGATAGCTGCGTTGACACAGACCCAATAAATGGGAAATGTAATGTGAATAGGGTCTAGACACTGCATGTCCAGCCACGGAGAGCTGCTTAGATCATTGAAATCAAAAGATATGCAAAAACCTGTCTTGCTTTACAACGAGGGACTGTAATGAGTGTTATTGAATGAATGAAGGGCACTTAATCACAGCTTGCCTAACTTATTGCATAAACAAATCTGGGCTATGTGTATACACAGCTGGCTATAATTTATTTTGTTTGTATATTTAAAAATGTGTCCTTTTCTAAAGTTACCACTAATGTAAAAAAAAAAAAAATGTCTGTTTTACCTTATGACCCTTCTTTCTGAAGGCTCCTTTGAATGCTTCTAACAGCTCACTATGCATAACTTTACTTTCGGTTCAACTCAGGCACCCGTTCGAGTTACACAGCAATGTATTCTGACATAGGTACGAGAAATATAAAGCAAATTAGAGGCAAAAAAAAAAAGTACTGACATTTACTGGAAACAGGACACGAAGAAGAAAACACAAAAAACGAAGCCAACCTAATAAAAATATTTATAAAAACAGAAAAGTGATGGAAGCATTTTAAGCTGTTTTGGCTATAAATTTCCCTCGTTCAATAGTGTTAATTTGTTCATTTTAAAAATAAATATTTATTTGATTTTTTTTGACAATATGACTTTGTATAATTCAGGCGTGACTGGATTTTCGTGTTTTACATTATCCTGGAGTGTGACTTGCTTATTGGACAAATTTTATAACAAAATATGTTCTCATCTCTACGACTAGAACCTATTTTTACCCATGGCTCATTATTACACTCACTCTGCTCGATTTAGCTGAATTAAGCCATTATAATAAGCCCATCGACAGAGCTTCGTTCAGTGTTTATGGTATTGCCAGTAAAATTGTGCATTATTGACCATGAAAACTTATAATGGTATATTTGAAATAACCCCTCTGTCCTGATCTCAGAAAAGATCCTAAAAACTAGTTACGGTTGAGAAACATACAAAGATATTCTGTCTCTTGGGAAGGGGAAGTCAAGAGCGTTCTGGGTAATGCAGTACTGTGCACGTGATCAATGTGCGAATGTTCAAATATTTATAGTATAAACTATATCATTTAATTTGTATTTATATTAATATTCTGGGGTTTATCCACAAAACCAGGAGTTGTAGGGCATTCCCCTACCATGTGCAGTTCCAATTTCATCTCTCCCCAATTACCAGTTTACTGACTTGACTCAAAAGAAGAAATATTAGAAATCGGTTCTAGAATCTATTCCTTCTCTCCTGTACTTCCCAGAATTGTAAGAAAATGGTACGTGGTGTAATGGCTTACTAAGATGGTGCATTTTGTCAGCCAGCGCTGCACAATACGTCCAAGGTTCTGTTTCATGCTTGCGCACAGGCTTTTTACCCACTACTTTGGATGCTGAAAAGGTTATTCAATAAGTTTTAGTGAACTAAATACAATGGTCAACATTAAAGCTAAAAAAAAAAAAAAAAAGCGGTTTTAAATAAATCTTTTCAATTTGAGCCTCAATTTGGATTTAAAAGGACAGTATAGTCACCCAGACCACTTCAGCTCAATGAAGTGGTCTGGGTGCCAGGTCCCTCTAGGGTTAACCCTGCCTGCTGTAAACAGCCAATAGAGGCGCATCTGCAACGCTGGAGGCATATTATGCCTTCATCACGCAGAGTGTCCATAGGAAAGCATTGAGAAATGCTTTCCTATGGACACTTTGAATGCGCGCGCATTCCACTCCGCTGACGTCAGACGGGGGAGCTGATGGCGGGGGAGGAAAGGTAAGGGAGCCCAGCGTTGGAATAAGGTGAGTAACCGAAGGGGTTTTAACCCCTTTAGCACCACGGGAGGGGGACCCGGAGGGTGGGGGCACCCTCAGGGTACTATAGTATCAGGAAACCCGATTTGTTTTCCTGACACTATAGTGATCCTTTAAAGGGTTGCTTCTAGTGATTTTAAGTGATCATGGTGCCTGTATTGTGTATGTAAAGCGTTAGGCTAAGAATGCACAGAGTTTATCTAGAGAGTTCCAGGCTGGCTGATGTCAATTCTGCGGATATTCCATTCATTGGCTGGGGAACGGTTAGCTGACACTCGCAGGCAATGAGGGGTTGGTGGGATTAGCATCCGGTTACTTAAGCTCTTCTAAAACCAGGTGCAATTTATAGAAGAACAAGGATGATAAGCAGAGGAGAAGATTATTGTGTAATGTGGTTTAACCAGGATCACAATTTGTACAAAACACGCCTGCTTTTTACAGAGGACATTTAAGGGGTCTCTATGTCAGGATCCATATAATGCAGCAGAGTGACAAATCAATAAACCACTCTAATGGGAGGTCAATAAACCTGCATTACTGCAATTAACACTTACCTCTGCAGGTCATTGAATGTGGGTGACACGATTGCCCCATTTTATAGGTATGTTTCTGCTTGATTGGACATTTGCTTAGAAAGTACTGTACCAACGCATGTGTGCCCGGTTGTTACTTCCCTAGTGCCACACACTCACCTGGGCCCTCAGAGCAAACACAGGGGTGTTATATTAATTTAAATTTTATGCTCTGGCTGTGCCCGGATACCGTAGCATCTGGAATACAATATTTAAAAACAAAGAAACCCAAAAAAGAAAATGACAACAGCTTTAACACGACGCTACAGTCACAAAACAGCGTTCGCTTAATGAAGCAGTTTTGGTGTATAGAACATGCCCCTGCAGTCTCACTGCTCAATCCTCTGCCATTTAGGAGTTAAATCACTTTTGTTTCTGTTTATGCAGCAATAGCCACACCTCCCCTTGCTGTGACTGACGTAGCCTGCATGAGAAAAAAAAAATGGTTTAATTTCCAGATGGTAATTTACTTTAGAATTTTTCCTGGTGACTATAGCATCGATTTAAGCTACAAGTCGCCAAAGCAAAAAAATTAAAAAATTAAAAAAAAAGTCTCACTATGCCCCAGAGAGTAATGTATGATATTTTTATGTGATAGGCATACCCCAGCTCAGATTTTTTCAGGGCTTAGCTGGGACACTCAGACTGCGGCACTATATAAACATATACTTTTAGAAATAGACCGATGGCATGAAACTCACATCAGAAAACATGCTATAAAATGTCACAATGCAACAATGAGCCCGTAACGGTAGGAAGAATGACGTAAACAGACTGTGCAGGGACACACTATAGAAAGTTCCCTACTAATGTTGTGGGCAGAAAAACCCACTTAAGGGCATCGATTAGGGGTGGCTCAACTTGGCATCATACAGGTATCAGAACTAGAGAGAGAGAAGAAAATAATAAACTATCATTGTTTAGGAACGGACGCTTATCACAACCTGCAACAATATGTTTGGAACAAATCCAATGTGGGTGGTGGAACGGTTTTGCCGGTTGCTTTGAAGCATGAAACCTAATAGAAAAAAAAGGAGAACTTGTCAATATCTTGTATAGAAACAGATTCCCCATGAAACGCTGCCTTAAATATCATATTGGTATGTTTCTATTTTATTGAATTGCCAGTTTCAGGGAAGCTATAGATTAAGAATCAATCAATACATTTCAGCATTTTGTCACTTGACAGTGACTGCGGTGTCATTTGTTAGCCTGACCGATTAAAAATTAATGACCATCGATCTTTAGGCAACAAAAAACGACCAACAAATTCCCATAAGTCCTCCTTCACAAGACCTCGGAATACAACAGAGGATAAAATAAATAAATAAATTAAGCAGAAACCAATCTTACAGGGCAGAAGGTTTAAACCTTTTACATCAGGAGCGGCCAAAATGTACACACACACACACACACACAGCGACTGTGGAGTTACACCTCCGAAAATGCTCATCCAGAATTAAGAGAGACACTATATGCATCATAAGCATTTCATCTAATTGAAGTGGTTATGGTGCCTGTAGTACCCTGGCGCTGTGCCTCCATTCAGTGTTAAACCATTTTCGAGCAGTTTAACACTAAATAAGGGTCTTTGGCTTCCAATAAGCTCGGCCCCAACTAGAGGTGTGACTAAGGCAGAGATCACACACTTCCTTCAACCATACCGGCCATAGGCACTGTGATTGGCTGAAAGCAGTAAGCTGACACTCAGCCAGTCACCACCACTCATTGCTGCTCAGCCGAGGCAACAAATGGGACGAGTAGCTGGGGATATTTTAACCTAAACGGTTTAAGCCCTTAAAGACACATGACATGTGTGACATGTCATGATTCGCTTTATTCAAGAAGTTTGGTCCTTAAGGGGTTAAAGCTGAATAGAAGGACCGCGCCAGGGTACTCCGCACACTATAACCACTTCAGTTGAGATGAAGCAGTTACATTGCCTAAAGTGTGCCTTAAAGGTTACATAGACAGGAGATCTGCCTGTCATTCCACCCTGCTTTACAGAATCAGAACTCCTGCTGTTAGTGTACCCCGTATAACACGATGACCTATGTAAGATCATTATAAACAAATGACTACAAAGTCAGTGTGTGTGCTTATACTGCCAACACATCGATCTTACAGGGAGGTTCTGTTTCCGATACTTACTGACGGGCAAAGCAGAGATTACAGATACACAGCACAGAGCTTTCACTCAATGAGAAAATTGACAATATATAGATTACCATAAAATCAAACAAAGTCAACTGTCTTCACTAAAAACCACAAACAAGTGGGAAGGGAAGTACCTGTGTATCCTGCTGATAGGAATGATAATTAAAGGGCAGCTCAGTGCACCATAATGTCACCATGCTCAGTGTATGGAGGAAGTTAAGAAGATTTCCGGTCAGTGTCTCTGGGTTTTATCACTAGTACAGAAGGTGCTCAAAGAGCGCAGGCAATTTATACTGGTACCCACCAGCAGAGGATCCAAAGAAAGTTTTCAAAACTAAGACAGTTTAGAAAATAATATATCAAAGCATGAAATTATGTTTTGTATGAAAAGGAAAGAGGTGCTAGAAGAATGCAGAATGATTTGAACTTGAAGTGTAGTAGCTTAAGGATTAATGTTGGAACATATTAAAGAGTAATAGATACCTAGAACAGCCTTCCAGTGGGAGCAGTAACAGTGATATAGAAAGGGTAGTAGATACCTGGAATAGCCTTCCAGTGGGAGCAGTAACAGTGATATAGAAAGGGTAGTAGATACCTGGAAGAGCCTTCCAGTGGGAGCAGCAACAGTGATATAGAAATGGTAGTAGATACATGGAATAACCTTCCAGTGGGAGCAGTAACAGTGATATAGAAAGGGTAGTAGATACCTGGAATAGCCTTCCAGTGGGAGCAGTAACAGTGATATAGAAAGGGTAGTAGATACCTAGAAGAGCCTTCCAGTGGGAGCAGTAACAGCGATATAGAAAGGGTAGTAGATACGTGGAATAGCCTCCCAGTGGGAGCAGTAACAGTGAAATAGAAAGGGTAGTAGATACCTGGAATAGCCTTCCAGTGGGAGCAGTAACAGTAATATAGAAGGGTAGTAGATACCTAGAACAGCCTTCCAATGGGAGCAGTAACAGTGATATAGAAAGGGTAGTAGATAACTGGCATAGCCTTCCAGTACAAGCAGTGAAGGATAACAATGATAAAGAAAGGGTAGTAGATACCAGGAATAGCCTTCCAGTGGGAACAGTAAAGCCTAACAGTGATATAGAAAGGGTAGTAGATACCTGGAACAGCCTTCCAGTGGGAGCAGTAACAGTGATATAGAAAGGGTAGTAGATACATGGAATAGCCTTCCAGTGGGAACAGTAACAGTGATATAGAAAGGTAGTAGATACCTGGAATAGCCTTCCAGTGGGAGCAGTAACAGTGATATAGAAAGGGTAGTAGATACCTGGAATAGCCTTCCAGTGGGAGCAGTAACAGTGATATAGAAAGGGTAGTAGATACCTGGAATAGCCTTCCAGTGGGAGCAGTAACAGTGATATAGAAAGGGTAGTAGATACCTGGAATAGCCTTCCAGTGGGAGCAGTAACAGTGATATAGAAAGGGTAGTAGATACCTGGCATAGCCTTCCAGTGGGAGCAGTAACAGTAATATTAAAAGGGTAGCAGGTACCTGGAATAGTCTTCCAGTTGGAGCAGTAACAGTGACATAGAATGGGGAGTAGATACCTGGAATAGCCTTCCAGTGGAAGCAGTAACAGTAATATTGAAAGGGTAGCAGATACCTGTTATAGTCTTCGAGTGGGAGCTGTGAAAACTAAATGATATAGAAATGGTAGCAGATACCTGGAATAGTCTTCGAGTGGGAGTTGTGAAAACTAAATGATAAAGAAAGGGTAGTAAATACCTGGAATAGCCTTCCAGTACAAGCAGTAAAGGATAACAATGATAAAGAAAGGGTAGTAGATACCTGGAAGAGCCTTCCAGTGGGAGCAGTAACAGTGATATAGAAAGGGTAGTAGATACCTGGAATAGCCTTCCAGTGGGAGCAGTAACAGTGATATACTGTATGTATTGGGACTGATGTGTACTATGGTCGTTGCTGCCGTCCAGGAGTGATGGAGTTGGAACGCATGACTTGTTTTTTTGTATTCGATACCTGGAATAGCCTTCCAGTTGGACCAGTAAAGGCTAACAATGATATAGAAAGGGCAGCAGATATCTGGAATGTATGGGATGTATTGAATGTGTGTAAGGGGTGCATTGAGTGTGTGTAATGAATGCATTGTGTGTTTCTGTGTGTGTAAGGGATGCATTGTGTGTAACGGTTGCATTGCTTGTGTATGTGTGTCTGTGTGTGTAATGCATTGTGTGTTTTTCTGTGTGCAAGGGGTGTATTGTGTGTATGTGATGAATGTCAATCTCTCCTCCCGCTCCAATTTCCTTCTCCTCCTCCCAATTTCTCTCTCACCCACCTCCTAATTTCTCTCTCACCCCCCTCCTTTCTTTCTCATCCCCCCTCTCACCCCCCTTATTTCTCTCTCTCACCCCCCCTCCCCCTCCCCCCTACCTCCCTGTAGCGTGGCCGAGCCCTGTATGGTCCGCGAGTACAGGGAGCTTTTGTTTCCTGTACCCGGCCGGACTAACAGGAAGTGCACACTCAGTGTTCACTTCCTGTTAGTCCGGCTGGGTACAGGAGACAGCTGCTCTCTGTACCCGTCGGACCATGCTGCAGTGACGGAGCTGAAAGGAGCGCTTCCCTCCTGTCAGCCTCTCCTCAGGCTGCGCCCGGGCGGTGCGGTCCGCCCTCATGGACGCACCGCCCGGGCAATGCTGCAGCCGCCTGAGGCTCTATACAGAGCGCTCGGGCGGTTGCAGCATGGGGGGGGGGGGGGCTGGCCATGGCCCCCCCCATCCTGGTGGCACCCGGGGCGGACCGCCCCCCCCCCTTAGTACGCCACTGGTAGTAGATACCTGGAAAAGTCTTCCAGTGGGAGCAGTAACAGTGATATAGAAAGGGTAGTAGATACCTGGAATAGCCTTCCAGTGGGAGCAGTAACAGTGATATAGAAAGGGCAGTAGATTCCAGGAATAGCCTTCCAGTGGGAGCAGTAACAGCGATATAGAAAGGGTAGTAGATACCTGGAATAACCTTCCAGTGGGAGCTGTAACAGTGATATAGAAAGGGTAGTAGATACATGGAAGAGCCTTTCAGTGGGAGCAGTAAAAGCCAACAATGATATACAAGATTTTTTTTTCCATCTGCCATCACTCTGTAAGCTTCAGTGTTTGAAGAAAAATAAGGTTCTCTGTGTTTTCCAACAGCAACACCATGGCCAACTTAGTCATGACTATTTACAGTGATTTATTGTTTAAACAAGTAAAACAAGCAACTCATCAAAAAATATAAATATATTTATACACATTATATGGACACATCTGTTTAGCGCCTGCAGAAGACGTCTTCCGGGACATTTCCCATCATTCTCTTCTTTATAACAATAGAGAACTGGGTTGAAAACCTGAAGAGGTGAGCTGTTTCTATGTACACAGAGGATCCAAACGTCCACATTCTGAGAGTTTCCTCCTGGAGTCGATATGCTCCATACAGGGCCACCATCCAGCTTCTCACACCTTCTTGGGGACATTGATGATGATGGGTTTGGGACGTGTTTTAAAGATGACTTTCTTCTTTATCAGTGCTGTCACGTGGTACTCTGTGTCTCCATGTTCCTCCATTGGGACACTACAACTCTTCACCAACACTGCAAACGGCTTCTCCAAGCGAGATACCTTCCCATACAGGATGTGATGTCCGATAATCAGCACAGGAACACCCTGATGGCAGAATAGGGGCAACAGGGACATCAAAGCAGTGAAGAACACATTCTCTGCATTGGCAGTAAAGCATTAGAGCTCTTCCTGCTAGAATTTCAGAAGATGTTCTACAATAGCTACGTCTAATGATCAACATCTGGCTGTGAGCGACATCTAGTGGTACAGCTTAGTTTAACAGCAACAGATGAGTATAATGTTAGAGGTTTTTCTTTTAGGTTTTTTTAGAAAAAAAAAAAAAAATCATGTACAAGATCGAATCATCATCACGAATGCCCTTCGAATATATATTAACAAAACAGACAAAGCCCCCAGGACTGCTGTAAAGTAAACTGGAATTCATTTTATGAGACACTAAAAGGCTTTAACGGACCCCATACTCTTATTTTCCTGCAAATGTTTCACGTTAAACTTAAAATATCTCTGTGCCCAGCAAGACAGTCACATAAAAGACAGGCACTTCAAACTAGAATTACATGGGGGGGGGGGCAAAGCTGGCATTAAGAATCAGATAGGACTACATTACACACAATGAGGTTTGACAAGCAACATGTTAAAAGGTTAATAGAAATGTATACAGAGATATCAAACTTTGAAATAAATTGTCTCAATCAAGAGTCTAATCACAAGGACAGAAAACAGTGGGGGTCCTATTGACACTATGTTAACTAGAGCTTAAATCAAGGCTCAGCTTTTCAAGTCCTACACTACTATCCAGCCCTTAAAAGTTACTAGCCACTGCAAGCCTGGGGGTCCACAGCCCACTCCCCAGGTGGGTATTTCTAGGAGCCAGGGTTACATTTTCTCTGGTCAATGGCTAGTAGACATTTTGAGCTCTGGTTAAAGAGCTAAAGAGAGATAAACACCAAGAATATTCTATGCCCCTTGTGCCCTCTCGTTTAGGGATTGTGATCTACGCTGCTTGCTTTACTGGAAGACCAGGCGAAACCAGAGGTGGCAATGCTTGGCACGGCAGATGTCTTCAGGTTATATTCCCTATTAAGCTCAGCCAGATATTTGAGGACGAGTAGCAGTTATTGGATACCAAATGCAGCACAAGAGGCAATAAGGCATTTTGGATCTGCAGCCAGGAAGTCACAGAATTTACAGGTTAGTTTCATCCTATCACAGTATTCACCTCAAGCTAACAGTGTGGGCATCCAATTAGTACGCTAGCCGAATTGTACCCTCAGCGTAGACTAGACAGACCAAGAAACTGTAGTATTTGGGCTGAAGTGCTTAGCTAATAACGCAGTTTATATGGAGCAATAGGTTAGATCTAGGGAATGCCCTACCCAGGGGATAAAAAAAGAAAGAGAAAGTTATACTGTACGGACTGGCAGAAGCAAATAGCAGTAACGAGAAAAAAAATAAACAGATAAAGATTGTGTAAATGTAACCTTTTGATATGTTACTGTATACAGAATTTAACATTTCGAGTTTTACGCTACCAGCCACGTCTTAAAAGCTTCTAGCCACTGCAATGCTGGAAGGTCCATGCCATACTCAGCAGGGGACATTACAACTCTGCAAAGTCACATATATCAATATATATTACAACATGTGAAAATTTTCATTAATGATATTTTTCCCCGTAAAGCAGGAGGCGAGGTAATCAATGAGTAACGGTCAGTATTGATCAGCACGATTTGGCAGCAGTTCCAATAGACTTACAATAAGGGTAATAGCATGGAGCAGTATCGCTGTGAAAAAATGAAGCACACACAGTAATTGTAAGGTGGAGTTATTTGACTGGGTGCAGCATTAACAGATGTACATGTTTCCACGCAGTATAACCCATTACGTACCTCCTTAGTGTAGTGCAGATCTCCCATCAGATTCCCGGCCAGTCCATCTTGATTTCGAGCTTCGATTTCCCCCTGTAATTCCATCAGCAGCCACTCGTCTGGCTGGCCCTCAGTACCCCTGTAAAACAAGGAGACATCAGGAGTGTTCACAACACTAACCGTATATAATAACTCTGCACCCGGCCGGTACGCACCGTGTATATTAACTCTGCACCCGGCCGGTACCCACCGTGTATATTACCTCTGCACCCGGCCGGTACCCACCGTGTATATTAACTCTGCACCCGGCCGGCATGCACCCTGTATAGTGACCCCGCATCAGACAGGTACAGTGTATAATAACCTTGCACCCAACAAGGATGCACAGTGTATAATAACCTTGCATGAAGCAGACACACATGGTGTATAATAGCTGTGAATCTGACGAGTACGAGCAGTGTATAATAACCGCACATCCGACAGGCACACACAGTGTAATAACCCCACATTTGGAAGGTACACCTAGTGTATAATATCCCCACATAAAGCCTGCACACTGCGCAGAATACAAAACTGTGCGTAATAACCCAGCATGCTGTATGCAATACAACACTGTGCGTAATAACCCGGGACCCTGTACATAATAACCTGGCACACTGTACCTAATATAACACTGTGCGTAATTACCCAGCACACTGGGCGTAATATTAAACTGTGTGTAATAACCTGGCAAGCTGTGCATAATAACCTGGGACGCTGTGCGTAATACTACACTCTGAATAACAACCCGGCACGCTATGCGTAATACAACACTGTACGTAATAACCCGACACGCTGTGTGTAATGCAACACTGTGCGTAATAACATTATGTGTATAACAGTATGTACTATGTGTATAACAGTATATAATAACACAGTGTATAATAACAGTATATAATAACACAGTGTATAATAACAGTATATAATAACACAGTGTATAATAACACAGTGTATAATAACAGTATATAATAACAGTATATAATAACGCAGTGTATAATAACAGTATATAATAACGCAGTGTATAATAACAGTATATAATAACACAGTGTATAATAACAGTATATAATAACAGTATATAATAACGCAGTGTATAATAACAGTATATAATAACACAGTATATAATAACAGAATATAATAACGCAGTGTATAATAACAGTATATAATAACACAGTGTATAATAACCGATTGTGTCGCTGTTACCTGAATACCCGGATTTGCACCATGCTCCAGTCGATAAATTCTCGCTATCGCGCTATGTACTAACACTGTCACTATCTAAATCCGGCGCCTTCACCGTGCTGGGGGCGGGGCCACTGGGCACTTCCGCTTCCGGGTCCTGGGGATCCACGTGAATATAGAGAGCAACGTGAGAGGAGACCAGGGGGTCAGTAATAATCTATAATATCTTATAATAATACACTGTATTACAGGGGGGGTCAGTAATAATCTATAATATCTTATAATAATACACTGTATTACAGGGGGGGTCAGTAATAATCTATAATATCTTATAATAATACACTGTATTACAGGGGGTCAGTAATAATCTATAATATCTTATAATAATACACTGTATTACAGGGGGGGTCAGTAATAATCTATAATATCTTATAATAATACACTGTATTACAGGGGGGGTCAGTAATAATCTATAATATCTTATAATAATACACTGTATTACAGGGGGGTCAGTAATCTATAATATCTTATAATAATACACTGTATTACAGGGGGGTTCAGTAATCTA